GTTATTAAAACCCAAACAACTTTTATGAAGTTTAAATTCGCAGGCCTGTGTTATTGGTGTACACTTCAATATTGCTCTAACACTAACATCCGTACTCTTTAGGTATAGTTCCAGAACTGTAGAGGCAGGCCTGTGTTATTGGTGTACACTTCAATATTGCTCTAACATTAGCATCCGTACTCTTTAGGTATGTTCCAGAACCGTAGAGGCAGGCCTGTGTTATTGGTGTACACTTCAATATTGCTCTAACATTAACATCTGTACTCTTTAGGTATGGTTCCAGAACCGTAGAGGCAGGCCTGTGTTATTGGTGTACACTTCAATATTGCTCTAACATTAACATCTGTACTCTTTAGGTATGGTTCCAGAACCGTAGAGCCAAGTGGAAAAAGAGAAAGAGGAGCACCAGCGTGCTCAGGAACCCCGGGGTTCTTCTACCATCTCACAGTCTCACTCCTCTGGGCTTTATGAGTGATGGGCTTTGTTCTTTCGGAAGCGGTCCTGATACACGTTGGTCTATGACTACGGGTATGACGCCAATGGGCACGCCGCCACTGACGCTCGGTCCTTCGACCCTGTCCCGACAATCTTGTCTCGGTCAGTCGTTATCTACCTCTTCCATGTCGGGGATCAACCAGACTGGTGTCCCACTTAATCACGGTCCTGCGACAACTTCAGGCTGTAACGTCTATCAGTCTCATTACGGTCTGAACACGCTCAACTCTCCAGCCGGAGTACCGCATTCTCACGGCTTCGCCCAAGTGGCAGTTGGAATGTCCATGGCTGTCGCCTCGCCGCAGAACTCAGGTTCCTCCACGCCTCCGCAGTTATCGGCCGCCTGCACCATGTCGATGGGAGGACTTGATCAAAGCGTCGGCAACAATGAGGGAGAAGTCTGGCGGGAAACTAGTATTACATCACTGCGACGAAAAGCTATAGAACATTCGGCAACCATGTCGGTGTTTAGATGAAACGTATCTGTGAAATTATACAGTAAAGTAGTTTCTTTCAGTAAAAAAAAAAGTAAAAAAAAGGGAAGATGGTTGTGATTAATATCCTAGCTAGATCCAGCTTAAGATACTGAAAGAGATTAGGCTTAAGCTACATACAAGGTATTTCTTCAACAATTCGTCAAGAACACCAAACAAATCAGTGTGTAACTTAATGTAATACATGCTGCTGTTCGGACACCAAATAGATCAGTGTGTAACTTAATGTAATACATGCTGCTGTTCGGACACCAAATAGATCAGTGTGTAACCTAATGTAATACATGCTGCTGTTCGGACACCAAATAGATCAGTGTGTAACCTAATGTAATACATGCTGCTGTTCGAACACCAAACAGATCAGTGTGTAACCTAATGTAATACATGCTGCTGTTCGGACACCAAATAGATCAGTGTGTAACCGAATGTAATACATACTGCTGTTCGGACACCAAAAAGATCAGTGTGTAACTTAATGTAATACATGCTGCTGTTCGGATTGAACTTTTGTTTCGTATATCATATTCTATTAGCAAAGCTATGGATGTTAGATATTTTTGTGATCAGACAACACGTGTACTCTTACTGATATTAAACAATAGATAATGTTCGATGTCTGAACTGTGTATCTCTGAGTCTGTCTTTGGGGGTTCCATACCAGACAATTCAGTGAACCAGATCATTCAGAAACGAGTATGTAAACATATTAAACGCAATAAGCTAAGTACTAGGTCATGTCATTCAACACAGAGCAGGTGAAGATATTAACCTTTGTACCACATAATACAATACACTGTATCTAATAATATTAACTACCATGTGTCCAGTGCCATGTTATTCAGTAGAGTATATAAACATATTAACTACCATGTGTCCAGTACCATATAATTCAGTAGAATACACAAACATATTAACTACCATGTGTCCAGTACCATATAATTCAGTAGAATACACAAACATATTAACTACCATGTGTCCAGTACCATATTATTCAGTAGAGTACACAAACATATTAACTACTATGTGTCCAGTACCATATTATTCAGTACAGTACACAAACATATTAACTACTATGTGTCCAGTACCATATTATTCAGTAGAGTACACAAACATATTAACTACTATGTGTCCAGTACCATATTATTCAGTAGAGTACACAAACATATTAACTACTATGTGTCCAGTACCATATTATTCAGTAGAGTACACAAACATATTAACTTCCATGTGTCCAGTACCATATCATTCAGTAGAGTATGTATATATATATATATTAACCATGATGTGTTTTGTACCAAGTCATTCAATACAAAGCATATAAATATATTAATCGTAATGTGATCTGTACCAAATAATACAGTACAGTGTAAACAAAATATTAATCACGATGTGCACTCTACCAGATCATTCAGTGTAGATTATGTAAGAATATTAATCGCAATGAGCTACAAACCAGGCCAGACAACATAATTTAATACGGGGTACGTTAGCATATTAATTATGATCAGATAATTTAGTTAGATCAATACAAATTATGTACCCTTATTAATCATAAAGTACATTGTATCAGTTGGTCTAATACAAAGTACAAACACATACTAAAAGTGCCGTGCTCTGTGCCATAGTATGTACCCTTATTGATCATGAAGTACATTGTACCAGTTGGTTCAATACAAAGTATAAACACATACTAAATATGCTGTGCTCTGTGCCATAGTATGTACCCTTATTAATCATAAAGTACATTGTACCAGTTGGTTCAATACAAAGTACAAACACATACTAAAGTGCCGTGCTCTGTGCCATAGTATGTACCCTTATTAATCATAAAGTACATTGTATCAGTTGGTTCAATACAAAGTATAAACACATACTAAATATGTGTGCTCTGTGCCATAGTATGTACCCTTATTAATCATAAAGTACATTGTATCATGTTTTCTTAGTAGAATATATTAACTTACCAGCCATAATGTATCAGTACGTGATGTGTAAGGTCATAACCCGCAGTATGTACTACACTACTTTCTTCAGTACTGAATTAGCATCATTACTTAATTAATAAGCAAAAAATATAGAAATAAGGTAAAACAAAATCCTGATAAAAATTGTGTATCATAGAATTACAAAAATGACATCAACCAAACTGAAGCACCATGAACTGAGCTTTAAGTGTTTGACCGTTGAGAAGTAATTGTAGTGTTTTTTTATTACATGTGATGGTAGTTATAGTGTGATATGCTAGAAATTAAAATATGTTTAAGAGCTAAATTATGTGATATATATATATATGTGTGTTTTTTTGTGTGTCAAAGTACTGAAATAATATACAAGTAAACATTCTCTGTGGAAATATACACATTAGTAGCATAATAAGTACAATAACATTCTCTATGGAACTATACACATTAGTAGTATAATAAGTACACTAAAATTCTCTATGGAAATATGCACATTAGTAGTATAATAAGTACACTAAACATTCTCTGTGTAAATATGCACATTAGTAGTATAATAAGTACAATATCATTCTCTATGGAAATATACACATTAGTAGTATAATAAATACACTAAAATTCTCTATGGAAATATGCACATTAGTAATATAATAAGTACAATATCATTCGCTATGGAAATATACACATTAGTAGCATAATAAATACACTAAAATTCTTTATGGAAATATGCACATTAGTAGTATAATAAGTACAATAACATTCTCTATGAAAACATACACATTAACAGTATAATAAATGCACTAAAATTCTCTATGGAAATATGCACATTAGTAATATAATAAGTACAATATCATTCGCTATGGAAATATACACATTAGTAGTATAATAAATACACTAAAATTCTTTATGGAAATATGCACATTAGTAGTATAATAAGTACAATAACATTCTCTATGGAAATATGCACATTAGTAGTATAATAAGTACAATAACATTCTCTATGGAAATATGCACATTAGTAGTATAATAAGTACAATAACATTCTCTATGGAAATATGCACATTAGTTCTATAATAAGTACAATAACATTCTCTATGGAAATATGCACATTAGTAGTATAATAAGTACAATAACATTATCTGTGGAAATATGCACATTAGTTCTATAATAAGTACACTAAACCTTCTCTATGGAAATATGCACATTAGTAGTATAATAAATACAATAATATTTTCTATGGAAATATACACATTAGTAGTATAATAAGTACACTAAAATTCTCTATGGAAATATGCACATTAGTAGTATAATAAGTACACTAAACATTCTCTATGGAAATATGCACATTAGTTGTATTATAAGTACGCTAAAAATTCTCTGTGTTTGCGTGTTTAGAATAATAGCTTCTAAAACCTTGTTCACAAACAATGAGTATATTTTAAAGAAAGATATATTAAAGCGATTAATTTAAACCGTATGTAATTCAGGAACGTTCTGTAAAAACGATATTGAATCACAAGTCAGCAATTCAAGTGAGAACCATACCGACTTATAGTCGTGGTGCAACAGCATGTTAATTGGAATGTAATTCGGATACATTTTTGATGGATTGTAAGTAGTATGCTTCCAAGGAAAATTTATCGCTTTTCAAAAGGGTAGGTAATAGCCATATCCAGCGTAAAAATATTCATACAATCAGATCATAAGGATGAGTTCATAGCAGAGATAAAGAATTCTCAAGTCAGAGATATGCCTTCTCGTTAACGGCTTTGGAAACAAAGTAATAGAGATGAACTAGGAGATTCTAACATCCAGATAGAGACCTGCAACCAGTTGTACCTGAGGCGTGCTAAGGGAAGTGCGATGAATTGTGAGACAAAGATCAATATTAAAAACCCTTCACGTATCCCAGGCAACATTACGCAACAAAATCAATAAATAGCTTTTCTGACAGCTAGGTCAACAGGGTGTGAGCTCACCAAGATAAGAGTTTCAGTAATACCCCCGTTCAACCTTCGCAAACCTCAAACAGCTGCAGAATGAAATAGGTATTCCTGTTATTCGATATGAAGACATATCGGTCAGTCATCGGACGCTCATGCACTAGATGGATTATGGAAAGCCAGCAATAAGTAGGGGTGTGTTTTGGACACGGTAGCCTCACGATGAAACCTTTTCCAATGAAAGCTACTCTAAAGGACTATTGGCAAGATGCACGGTCGTCAGAGAGCATGACCAGACATGGAAAAGATCTCAAATCGTTTTAATCTATCATTCTCTAGCCTTTGTATTAATCTATTGTTGCTACAGAATTTACTATTAAGACTTGAGAGTAACATAAACTATTACTACGACACTCAGTTTTCTCTTGTTTTGTATGTGTGTGGGAATATATGTATATGTTTGTGTTTATCTTCAATTCGTTGTAAGTAAATATATAGGCAAATAAAGTTAACTTAGAGTATTAATTAAACATTTGGTTAAATGTTTTATCAGTGTTTGGTTTGTCATGAACTGTATGTAAAATCATACGATAATAACTACTTGTGTTGTTAAATGTTTGTGTTGTGATCTCAAACGTTAAATGATGTAACTTACCTCCATAGGTCATTTAGTTAAAAGGTCATTGTTAAAATTACCAACAAGACGGAGACTGACTAATGCGGGATTTAAAGTTCTCTTATATGCCTGAGGATGGACACATACATCACGAAACCGATCACTTAATACATATTATAACACATTTCAAGGCTGACACGTCACGAACCAGTTACCTGTGTTATTACAATTTCAAGAGTGACGCCCACATCACAAAATCATTCATTTAATACAGTTTATTACAACATCAAGAGTGACACCCACATCACTAAATCATTCATTTAATACAGTTTATTACAACATCAAGAGTGACACCCACATCACAAAATCATACATTTAATACAGTTTATTATAACATCAACAGTGACACCCACAACACAAAATCATTCATTTAATACAATTTATTACAACATCAACAGTGGCACCCACAACACAAAATCATGCTTGATGTTGTACTAAACTGTATTAAATGGCTGATTTTTCCAAGCCCGTTCCCTTGGCTGTGGTTTCGCTAGATAGTAGATAGGTACAATGGGAATCTCTGTTGTATGTATCCGAATTTAATGACCTGTATTAAATGAATGATTTTGTGTTGTGGGTGTCACTCTTGATGTTGTACTAAACTGTATTAAATGAATGATTTTGTGTTGTGGGTGTCAATCTTGATGTTGTACTAAACTGTATTAAATAAATGATTTTGTGTTGTGGGTGTCACTTACTATATAAACACAAATAGTCGTTTGTTGTATACATCCATAGGAAAAGAATATCCTGTCCGTTATTATAGATAAAAAAACAAACTTGGATATGCTGCGAGACACAAACAGAAAAAGGATAAGCGGCTGTTGTCGTACACAGTGGCAAATAAAATAAATGTCTGCTCTTCTTCATAAACAAGATTAAGATTTGTTTTTGAAATCTGAAATATGATATGTTTTCTGCTATTCTACACACCAAGAATAGGATAATTTAACTTCTATGATATTATAGTTATTTACTATACTCCAGAAAAAGA